TGTTCCACGACCATGTCAGCCAAAACTGAGGTGCCATTCTATCTTGCCATTAATCCCTCTTTCTTTTCGAGAACTGTCTGATTTTTACACCGATTTAGCACGAAAACTCAGTAATATCTTGAAAATGTGCTCTTTGCGTCAGACACTGCATCTCTCCTACGTCAACGCTGATAAGAGGTGTTCGCGTTTAAGGTATCAAGCGCAAAACAAGTCTTATCCCATGTAAAAATGCGATAATACCCATTTTAGACTTTAAGTCCACCTTAAGCCAAGTGTTCTATGTTAAAAAGCACTGCTAAATTTCGGATTCTTAGGAAGACCCGGCTCGCTTGCTCATCAAAACCGTATTGTCCCGAAAAATTCGAGATTTGGAATTTCGACATTAGTAAAATGCGTGTTTCCAAATTTTGACATTATCACCCTATTTTGAGATACTGAATTTGCTGGTCATAAAATTTTGTTATTTTGAAATTACGATATTCTGAATTTCGGCAATGTCTATTTCCGAGATTTGGAATTTCGGTATCGTTAATTTCGAGATTCCAGATGTCGAGATTTCGAAGCCTCGTCATGTCGAAATTATGAATTTCCACATTACGTATTTCGTCATTGTGCATTGCGGCATTGTAAATTTCGGCATTATCAAAATTTTCATAGGAACGTTTTCGGAATTTTGGAGCTAAACCCTCGACTTGTAGCCCCTCAAAAACCAAAGTCCATGGTCCCCTTACCAGTACCACACTTTCCTCTTGACAGTCCCCTTTCACGCGACTCGTTTTTCTCGCCGTGTTTCAATGGGGGGGGAAGCCCCAGGGGGCGCTGCTCTGCTCCACCCCCCCCCCCCTTTCCGATTCTCTGCAGATTTCCACCCCAGCCAGGCCGAAATGGGCCTGTGCAAATAGTGAAGGGGGTGGCTGTGGCTGCTCCCCCCTTCGGCTGCTCGACTCGTAAACAGTATTCACGCGGAATCTCGGCCCCAGCAAATCAATGGCCTCGTCCCCCTTGACGCCCCCGTCGTCAGCCAGCCCCGTTTTTTCTGATGCCTTTTTGGGGGGTCCTTGACGGTGTCAAGCGGACTTTTTGAATGGTCTCGATTTATCGGCAAAAAATCGGCCGAAAATGGAACGTTTGAAGGTAAATTTTTTTAAAAAGCGGGTTTTTAGGGGGTTTAAGAATTTGGTGCTTTTTTGACGCGGTTTTTGCTGGGTTTTTAATGTTTGTAAGGCTCTTTCAAGACTTTTTTGGGGTGGAAAGCTCCAATTTGTATGCTTTAACACTTAAAATATAATTTATGAGAAAGATGGGATTGATTTTTTTTGTAGAATCAGGTTTTCAGCTAAAAATCCTTTTTTTTGCCATTTTTTGTAAAGTGTTTTCGTGTTAAATTACAGTTTTCAACCTCTAAAACCGTTTTTTGATCACCGAGAATCTATTTTTACAAAGCTCTTAAATTGACAAGATTAATAAACGGGTTTAATAGGCTTATTCACTGGAATTTGTAGATATTTCGGTTTATAGCGTTCGCTATGGCTGGCAGATTATGGCACAATCCAACAATCCCGCTCCCCCCTCCCGCTAATCGCTACAATTATTATCTTCCTCGACTCCCCCACGCCGGGACCATGACATTTCCGCCAACGACAGTTCCGCCAACGCGGGAAACGACAATTCCGCCACAGGCGACATTTCCGCCACTCTATTAAAACGACTTTTCCGCCAAATCGGGGTCAAAAAAAACATAAAACCTTCCAAATACAATATTTTCTCGGTGTTTTCGCTATTTATAAATTTATTTAAGACAGTAAAGACTAGTAGATAACAAATTACGATTCAGGAGGGCTATTTTGTGGGTTCCTCTGGCTGTTCTCGATCGATGAACGATTTCTTCCCTGGAAATGCTCGTTTCACCCTTTTTCTTTGTTTTTCTTGCAGATTCTTATTGTAACGAAGTAAATCAACATTACTTCGATTGAAGGAAATGTTGTAGCTACTATTTGAAGTTTCCATGAGCGAAATACGCAGACTTGTTCTAGTCAGAAATGGCACAATGGGCTGCTCCATGCTTGTAATAGCCCTAAAAACGCTTTTCTGTCGAGTATTTAGACATTTCCGAAGAAAATAGCAAAGTTATGATGGTTTTTTGCTTGAAAACAGAGTTGTCGCGCAAATCGTACAAAGTCTTGTATGATGCCTAAAATAGCCCCCGCATCGTAATTTCTTATTTACTAGTCTTTACTGTCTTAAATGAATTTATAAATAGCGAAAACACCGAGAAAATATTGTATTTGGAAGGTTTTATATTTTTTTTTGACCCCGATTTGGCGGAAAAGTCGTTTTAATAGAGTGGCGGAAATGTCGCCTGTGGCGGAATTGTCGTTTCCCGCGTTGGCGGAACTGTCGTTGGCGGAAATGTCATGGTCCCCCCACGCCACCCCCATTATTATTATTATTAATGGATGGCCCCCGATTTACCTATTTTCAGCCCGTATTATGCGAGCGGACTGGAGGTGGTGGTGTGGCAAAATCGAATTTGAGAGTGGGGGAGGATTTGAGTGGGGACGTCTCGAGGCGCTAGGAGGATTATGATATTAGCCGAAAATGGCGGCTTGAAATAGCCAAATCACGTGCCTCCACGGGCAAGTTTGAGATAGAAAAACTTTCGATTTTCTTTGTAAGGCTTAGATTTTCAGGATTTTAATTGGATTTCACTCAAATCGCTCTCTCTCACTCTCTCTCTCTCTCTCTCTCTCTCTCTCTCTCTCTCGTTCTTTCTAAAGTTACTCTGTTTTCTCTCTAATTTCCACCAGGATTTTCTGCTAGCTTGCCCCGGCGGATTCGAAACTAAATAAAATCTACCATCACCAAAAATAACCCTTTTCATCAGGCTAAATTACGCACGCCCACATGCAAGGCCTCTTACAATTAAAGATGTCCCCCAGATGCAACAAACACCCTAATTCAGATACTCTCTCGCTCTCACTCCTTCTCTCCCTCGCTCTCTCGCTCTCTCTCTCTCTCCCTATCTCTCTCGCTCTCTCCCTATCTCTCTCTCTCTCGTTCTCGTTCTACTATTTTCGGAATAACAATTAAGCCAGGCATGGATGTCCCTCGAGGGCACACACCCATTTCCACCCCATGTTTTCCTACCATCCAGCTGCCGTATCCGAATATAGCAGAGAGAAATGAATCAGTCTTGCGATTATCACGTCCCTCGTTAGCAGGCTTTTTCCAGCGGGGCTTCTCCCTCTCCCCTAGGGAAAAGCCCTAGACTTGTAGTCATATGATCCTGAATTAAACCCGAAAATGAAGTAGGTCCGCTAGGTTTCGATCAAAGAACGAGTACGGTACTCTAAAGGGCCAGTGACAGCTGGGAATTCATTGGAAAGCTCGACAAATATCGATTCCGCGATTTTTTAGCGCGTACAAAACTATTCAATAGATCACCATGTTTTAGTGAGCTTTCCCAAATGATGACGCCTAGCTTGCCTGAGCCTTCCAACCGACATTTATGCATTAATGGAATGATTTTCCAATATCTTAGACATTTTCTAAGTTACTTTTATGTCCTAAATGGTCTCTGCTAGCTTGCCGAAAACTTTCCATCACTTTCGCATTAATGGCGACATGTTCTTACCTTTCTAATGAATCCACGCTTTTCTAAATCATCTCTGCTAGCCTGCCTCGTTTTTCTTGGTTTTCAATAGCCGGATACCAGCGAAAATTCGAGAGAACGCCCCACCAACCACGTGGTCGATTTTATCGGCGGGCCAGTTTCCGAAGATCCGTATCTTGGCCCGGCCGGGGTGTCAATGTTTTCGCGAGATACTTTTTTCGATGTTCCCAGGTTCCTTCCTCAAAAGATTTATGATAGCATCTCCTGTTCGGAATTTCGAGAATAACCGCTATAAATGGTTTTCTGTTTGTTTCCTAAATAATTTCTGCACCCATACGATGTAGTAACCAAGTTTAGTAATAAGCCTTGCTAGCTTGTCAATCGATGAGACCTTACCTAAGTCTATGCCTAAGCCTGAGCTAAACCTAAGCCGACGCTATGCTAAGCCTAAATCTAAGCCTAAGCCAAGCCTAAGCCAGGCCAAGCCAGGCCTAAGCCAAGCCAAGCCTTATGCTAAGCCTCAGCCACGCCTAAGCCAAGCCTAGGCCAAAGCCATAGCTAAACCGAGCTAGCTATACCTACGCCCAACCAAGCCTAAGCACTCCTCCAAACTTCCCGAAATAACCCAAGATAAGCTGAACCACTATTGCAAAGCTCCCATGGGTGGTGTCTTCTCCTCTTTTTTGATTAATTTGCGAGGGTTGGAGGGTGGTGGTGGATGCTTCTTCTTCTCCTCCTCCTCCTGCTCCATCTCCTTCTACTGGCTATGTGTGGAAACAGAAAATTGGATGGGCACACGGGAATTTTGCGCCCCCCTTCTACTGGCTGCTGCTGCCATCGCCACATGCCCCCCTGGAGAGCACGTAAATTCTTTGGCCTTTACCACGCTCATCCCCATTCATTATTTTTGGGGCCCCAGGCTTGGCATTTGCGTGCAACTTGGCCCTAATGGCCAGATGGCATGTGGCATGATATGGGGCAACTTTTAGAGTGGTAAGAGATCTGGTGAATTGATGATCCGATTTTTGGTGGACAAACCTTATTTTGCAACTCGTTTTCTGTTCTCTGATAGTTTTCTCGTTTCTGCAACTCTCGTTTTCCGAATTTATGTCATTTTTGGATTATTTACGGTTTTCTCTCTTGCTCTCGATATCATCTCGTGCTCAATCTCGCACTCTCGCTCGCACTCTCTCTCTCTCGCGCCCTTTCACGTGCTTTTCTCTTTCCTACCATAGCCTTCTTCACTCTCTCGCATCATCTTGTTCTTTATTTCCCTCACTCTCTTTCTCTCTCTCCCTCTCTCTCGCTCTCGCCCTCTCCCTCTACCATAAATTACCCCTCTTTTTTCAGGATCCCATCCCTATAACCAAATGGAGTAGCGGGCCGAATGCGAGGGAGTTCTCTCCTTTTTCTAATTTTTCTACAAATATGCTACCTCGGGACGACGCGAGGCCAGGCTGAGAGGGCACCAATTGTTGGGAAGGTTAGTGGAAGCGGGAGAGAGAGAGAGAGAGAGAGAAAGAGAAAGAGAGAGAGAGAGCATGTTAGACTAAAACGAAAAATTGTCTTAGAGCTATTCGAGCCAGAATCTCTCATTTTAGCTAACACCAACCGATGAGCGACCAAGACCCACTTCCACCACCCCTCCAGAACCGACACTACCTCCAGTGCCTGAGGGGAAGAAGCGGATACTCTTGTCTTACCTCACAGCTGTTTCGACTATACCACCCAGCCTCTTGGAATCGTTGATTAGAGGAAGGGGATCGGCATCGAGAGCGTCGTCACAGGTGGGAAATGAAGCTATAAAATCGTTTTTATTCTGCATTTAATTCTGTTAAAGCTTTCGAAGATCTTCAAAGGGGCTGGAAGCGTGAAAATAGGTCCTTAAATGGACTAGGCGTCGACAGCTACGCGACGCTTCAAAATACACATTCATTTTTCGAGAACTTTTGCCCAAATTTGACATCCCGGGCGACAAAAACATTGAAGTTGAGACCCGTAATTTGGTGTATCCCGTAATTGTCTAGACCTAGCCGCCCGAAAAGTCGAACTGAAGCTTTCTGGTACGTTTAAAGGTGCTCAGAAGGCCAAAAATCTACCCCTTCCTCTTGTCCGGGTCTCGACAGTTAGGTATTGCGTAAAAAAACAGTGAAAGGCTTACTCAGACGGCGTCCTTTGGAGCGGGAGGTAGTTGTCGAGACCTAGTTTAGGGATGGATGAATCCTGGCGCTTCATAGTGCCTTTAAACCGCGAATTGCGCGCGCGTCCGCGTTGCGTTTCCCGTTCTCTTCCCTGTAGCGATACGAAACGCGAACGCGACGCTTTAAAGGTACCCGGAAGCACGACAAAAGCTCTCGGATGAGCCACCACGTCAACCGAAACTCTAATTTTAGCAAGACTCAGCCGCCAACGATACCTCCTCCTCAAAAGATGTCTCCTTCCGAGACTCCTCCACCGCCATCGATTCCCAAGAAAACCGCTCGGTTCAGGCCTGGTCTCGCTGTTTCCGCACCGATTTTGAGGGTTGGTAGATGAACAACGCAGGCCTTTGGCTTTTGAACATCTGTAAAACCTCAATTTTGCTATTTCCAGGCTCCGTCATCTCCGGCGCGTTGCGCGTCGCCATCGAGGAGATCAACAACGACCCCACCATCCTCCCGAACCACTCGCTCGCCTACACCTTCTCGAACACGTGCGGCGACGAGAAGACGAGCACCCAGTACTTTATGCAGCACTGGAAGATGGGAGCCCGGGCGTTCATTGGGCCGGAAGTGAATTGCAGGTACGGTGGGAGTGATTTAAAAGCTTAAAATTGGATGTAACTTAATTTAATGAATTTAGACTATATTTTTAATTAAATAAATTTTATTTCTAATTTAGAACCGAAGCGACAATGGCTGCAGCGCAAAATTTGCCGATTATCAGCTACAAATGCAAGGATGAATCGGTTTCGGATAAGCGGAAGTGGGTTTTTCGCAGATTCTTTGGTCTTTCTTTCTCTCTCTCTCTCTCTCTCTCTCTCTCTCTCTCAATTTTTATGATTTTTCTATCGCTCCAGATTCCCGACCTTCGCCCGGACTGTCCCTGCCGAAACCGAGATCGTCCACTCCTTCATCGCCCTCCTCACCGAGTTCGGCTGGAAAAAGTTTGGCATCGTACACGAGGAACATGCCGCTCACGCCGAGCTGTACCAGGCGATCAAGGTATGGAGTGGTACCTTATTCTACGTATTTCGATTCAGGCTGCAACCGAAAAACTGTCCACCGACTACGAGATCACCAACGTCACCATGCTGGCGACGTTCAACGAAATCACCCCCCAGCAAGAGCTCGTCTCCATCGTCGAGCGCATGAAGTTCAACACCAGGAGTCAGTTTTTGGAGGAAACTACCTCCTTATTAACAATATCCAAAACATTCCTATAAACAAATTAATGAAATCTGATCCCCTAAATTTAATTGAATGAATTAAGTAATCAATAACTTAATTATTATAGTTTTCGTGACGTTTGGCAATGTGCGGTTGTTCAGGACGCTGTTGCAGATCATGGGCCAGCAAGGTAGCAATTTTTGCCAAATTTTCCAAGGTAGCTTCAGGTCTTCTGAAACCGGGCAGCGAGTACATGCTCATCTACCTGGACCCGGACTACAACTGGCTAAACGTGTACCACGCGATGAATAATCACTTTTTGAGAAGTGAGGAAAACGTATTTACGCGTTAAAAATATATTTTAGACACGATGGTGGAGATGAACAGATCGTGGGGCTCCGACGGACAGCCGGGAGAGGATTCTGAGGTTAGAAAAACTTTTACAAAGTGGTTTGCTGAAGTTTAACATTTCAAAAATACTTTTTATTGGCTAAAACCAACCTTTCTCGTGAAATAAAGCTAGAATAATCGAAAATCGCATGAGCGCACAGCATAACAGCGTGCATAGCAGTGTTTCGTACTCAAATAAGTATCAAAAAGCAACGTTTTTGCCGTCAGTATGCCTTTAAAGTTTTAAAGCTGAAATCAATATCTTAGTGCCAAATAAACCTACAATCCACGATGATTCCGCATAAGCACATCATAAAAGTGTGCATAGTCGCGTCTAGTACTCCAAATCGATCGAGAAATCTACATTTTTCACTCGAGGAGCCCTTTAAAATCGTCTTTAGATGCTCAACTACGCCCATAACGTCATCGCCGTCATCCCAACACCCGTCAAGCTAGACACGCCTCATTTTAAAAAGTTCTGGAAGCTCGCGATCGATTACCTCGTCGAGTTCGGCGTGCACAAGAGCGCAATGCAGAATTCGATTAAGGTAAGGGGAAAACCCTCGAAAAGGAGCACCGCTGCTTCAAAAAACTGCACGAAACGCCTAATCACGCGCTAAACTCGAATAAATTCAGGCCAACCGCTTCGCCTGCTACCTGTACGATGCCGTCTGGGTGTACGCGAGAGCTCTTGACGCCCACATAAAAGCCTCGCCAAACTTGGCGGAACCGGAGGCCGATGGCCAGGGCATAATTCGAAGAATTCTGGGCAGCACCTATTATAGTAAGTATTCATTTATCTCATTCAATTCGTTAAAAAATTTAGGCATCCAAGGCTTCGAAATGACGTTTGACAACAGCGGAAATGCCCAAGGAAACTATTCCATTCTCACGTGGCTACCCGTTAAAGCCATGACAAAAGTGTAAGGCATTAGCTAAAATATAATATTTCCACTTTTTTAATCAAAATCGGTTATTGAAACAATTCCGGAAGGCTACTACTAACGATCACCGCCTAAAACGTGGATCCCCTCACTAGCGGCCAAATTTCCCTTTTCTAAACCGTTTCCGGCAACCGCTTACGCTTTGAAAATCCGCAAGGGAATTAAAATTTCCTTTTTCTAATGTAAAAATTGTATAATTTTATACAATCGGATTCTAAAATTCTCTGAAAAAAGTTTTTATTTCAGAAACTCGACCGAGTACTACCCGATGGACCATGCGCTCGATGTCTCGGGCGTGTTTGCAAAAGATGAAAATGGTTTAAAAGCCTTGTAAGTTTTTGTTGGATTTTTTTAAGTTTTGATGCTTTAATGCATTTTTTAGAGACTTTTCCGATATCAAACCGCATTAGAAATTTCAGAAAATGTCATTTTTCATGTTTTAAGCTTTTCATAGGTTTTTAATGTTAATTCTAAAAGAAATAGGCTAAGAAATTAAAAAATTCTTTTAGATGGAACAAGGATGTAATCTGGAACAAACACACGGTCCCACGCGACGAGCCGGAGTGCGGCTTCAACAACGACAAGTGCAACCAGCCGAAAAGTATTGCCGCGCTTTTCTTCGCAGATTTTATAGGTTCGTTTTTAGAGTTCTCGCTGTTCGTCGTCCTCGTCGGCGTCTCGTCGCTGATCATCGGCATCATCATGTTTATACGGTAATTGGCTTTAAAATTTCGTTTGATTAGAATTTTAGAAATACAAAGTATGAAAAAGAGCTGAAGATGATCTGGAAAATCGACCCCAAGGAAATCGAGCGGATAATGCATTGTAATCAGAGCACAACGTCACTTTATGTGCTGGATGGACGGGTGGGGACTGTTTTATAGTTTTTTAACTCTATTTTAGTTTCCAAACGATACTTGCGACGAGAAGCGCGGGTCGGGTCTGCGCGGCGTAGCGTTGTATAGAGGGAATTTGTGTTGTATAAAAGGTATGTTTCGTGTCTCGGAGCTTTTGCACTATCGTGAGACGTATTTTTCTTTAGAATCCACTGTTTCTAGAAGAAAAATGTTAAAGAATCAAATTAAAATAAAAAAGGATGTTTGAAATACTTTTCTATGCGTTTTTCAGATGGTTTTTCCTTTCAATTTTAGCTAAAAATGCTATCAAAAGATATTTTCTTTCATTATTATGCTGCGCGAGACTCATAGGGAAAAAATAGCCCCCCCCCCGATAATGCAAAAGAACCTTTTTAACAAACGTTTAAAAACTTATATTTTTGAGAAATCCGCTACCGCCGTAAAGCCCGTGAAATCAGCCGCCAACTACGCATCGAAATGAAGGCGATGCGCCAGTTGAACCACGACAACATCAACGCGTTCATGGGCATCATTGTCGAGCCGTCCAGCCAAGCGATATGCATCGTGCGCGAGTTTTGCGCCAAGTCGAGCCTGATGGACATCCTCCGGAACAAGGACATGAAGCTCGACCATCTATTTATTACCAGTTTTATTGAGGATCTCATTAAGGTGGGTAGTTTTTCGTTTTTATACTAGTAAATGCTTCTTTTTCTAAAATAAATGGAGGAGGTGTTTCCAAGTAATTTTAACTATATTTTCCAACAAAAAGTTTATATGGCCATCTTTTTCAGGGTATGATCTACTTGCACGAATCTGATCTACGGGTACACGGCAATTTGAAATCGACAAATTGCCTTATAACGAGTCGCTGGGCGTTGCAGGTAATTTTCTCTCACTTTGTTTTCTAAAGTTCTTGATCTAGGTCGCAGATTTCGGGTTGGCCGACTTGCGCGACGGGCAGCAATGGGACAGCGAGGATTTATTCGTAAGAAAATTCAATTTATCGAATTTCTGTTTAGTGGGAATCCTACCTATGGACGGCGCCGGAGCTGCTTCGCATGAGCGAGTTGCGCAATGCCGTTCGGGGCACTCAGGTTCGTACCAAAAATAGACTTTTAAAGTTCTTCTAGAAAGGAGACGTCTACTCATTCGGCGTGATCTTGCACGAGATGCTGACACGGCAAGGGCCCTTCCGGTTGATCGACTGTCCACAATATACCGCGCAAGGTAGGCGCAGTTTTTAAAGCCGAAAAATAAGGGCGTTTTTGCAAAATTCCTATAATTAAATTTTGCTTGATGATTCCAGAGGTCAACCATTTCATTCCATTTAAACTCAGCAAAATCTTTTGAAAATCGACGGTTTGGTCGAAAATTTGCCCTTTTTAATCAAGAACAAAATTCAAAAAAATTTTACAATTTGTTTATACACTGTTTTACATTTTATTTTTCAGAAGTCGTTCGGCGGGTCTTTGACGGCAGCGGGCTACGACCTTCTATGGAAGGCATCGACTGCCAGAACTATGTCTCGGACACGATACGAGCCTGCTGGGCCGAGTCCCCGGAAGCGCGGCCCGACTTCAAGCATCAAATTCGGAGTCGACTAAAACCGCTGTTTGCCGGCATTTACAAGCGGAATATCATGGTAAATTACTGAAATTTATACTTAGCAAAAACCTTTTTAGGACCATATGATGCTGATGATGGAGCGCTACCAGAATCAGCTCGAGCTGCTCGTGGAAGAGCGGACGGCCGAGCTGCGAGATGAAAAAAGAAGAAGCGAGAATCTACTCCAAAGAATGCTCCCTCAGTAGGAAAAATTGCCGAAAAAAAGGTTATTTTCTTCTAGGAGCGTCGCGCAACAGCTACTCGAAGGCAACAACGTCGTGCCCGAGTCGTTCCCATCAGTTACCATCTACTTTTCGGATATCGTCGGCTTTACAAATATCAGCGGCGAGTCGACGCCTATGCAGGTATGGATTTTTAAATAATCACCTAAAAATCTGAAATTTTGATCGCAAATCGGCCATTTTTCGTCTACAAATCGATATCTTTATTTTTTATTTTAATAAACTTGTGTATTTTAGGCTTATTTCAAAACAATGGAAGCCTTTCCTTTTCCTTATATTAGAAAATTTGGATAAAAAGAGAAAATTTGTTGCTTTCTCGGAAATTTTAAAGGCCTTTGATGCGTTATAAATCATAAAAACAATATATCATACTGTTTTTTCAGGTTGTCACCTTCCTCAACAAGCTGTACACCCTATTCGACAACATCATCAAGCAGTACGACGTCTACAAGGTCGAAACGATCGGCGATGCCTATATGGTCGTCTCCGGGGTGCCCATCTACAAATCCGAGTCCTATCACGCTGAGCACATCGCAACGATGGCCCTGCATTTGTTGGCGGCCGTGAAGAACTTTACGATACCGCACAGAAAGGAGGTAAACGGGAAATAAAAGCTTTGATCCGAAAAAATGTTGCAGGACACGCTGAAGCTGCGCATCGGCTTGCACACGGGCAGTTGTGTTGCTGGCGTGGTCGGGAAGACGATGCCGAGGTGAGGGTTGAAAATTAGATTGGTGGATTTTCGTGACCAGCCGATTCCGTACCGAATTTTACGCTGGTTCCGTTTCCGGTTCCAGATTCCGGGAATTTTGAAGGCATCAGCCCAAAAATTCTGCAAGAGTCGGATGAGCTTGGCTTCGTTTGCAAAGTTCAGTGCCATAAAAAACCGTATTTTTGTCGTACGAACGTTCCAAAGCGGGTTTTCCGGGCCAAAGCGCATCCCTTTAACAGTTAAACAAATTGAATAATTTTGTTATTTCCAATATTTTTAAAAACCAGTAGGTTCTGAAGACGGATTCGAAATCAGCGCCAAATTTGCACAGTTTAGAGCTTGACGAAGTTTCGCCCAAAGCCTCTGGGGGCATTCGAAAAGGAAAAAAAAAAGAATTTGAAAGCGAAAAAGAAGTTAATCGCTGCAAAACACAGCCGTCTGGAATAGCACTAAGAACTTATCGATATATTAATTCATCAAAAACCTATCCATAAGGGCTTCAAGTCAAAAAGTAGCAAAACTTGACGGTGACTACATAGTAAGCCCTGTGCTGGTTGGAATGAGCGTCACTTGTATACGAGACGATTCCCCCTAGGGGGCCCTCCATTAGGAGGGTGCGCTTTCCGCGGACGGTCCAGGGACTTTCCTCACAGATAACGGCCACAAAGGACCGGCGAGTAGCTGCGAATGCTCATCTTGTAGTCACCGGAGAGGAGAGGGGGTGGGGCTTGTCTTTTATACCCCCCTCACCCACCGTGGGCCAGGTAGCGCGCGTTTCGGGGGTGCAAAGAGGGCATGCGGAAATCGATCAATTGGCACTCCTATTTGCCGAAATTTTAACTAAAAGTTGTATATTTAAAGAGAACTCTCAAGTGCTGTTCCGTATACACCTATTAACGTTTGCGCCCCCTCTCTTTTTGCCTAGTTTTGCCTAGATAGGTGCAAACGTAGAAATAAGCCCTTAAACGTCGCTTTTACCGAAAGATACAAGACACTGCCACAAATTACTGTTGGCAATAGATACCCGATGGATTTTGTCGAAACTGCGTTGATATATTTTAAAAATCGAATATCAGAGAATTCGTTTTATTACGAAGATGACGGACTTTTACGCAAGGTTTATCGTTTCAAAAATTTTTTGAGGTGTTCTAGATGTTTTTTTGCCTGAAATTTAGCTAAATTTGGGTAAAAACAATATTAAAAAAACGAAAGAGCACTGAAACTGACTAATGCGATATCTGAACTTCTAGAAAAAGCTAAAAAAGCCCAACTTTCGAAAGTAATCATTAAAATTACCGTTTTCCAGGTACTGCCTCTTCGGTGACACCGTCAACACGGCCAGCAGGATGGAGAGCAGCGGCGAGGGTAGAACCTACTGACTTCCAAATATTTAATGTTTTTTTTCCAGCATTGAAAATCCACTGCTCCGAGCAGACGGCAATGGTCCTGTCCGATGTCCTCGGATTTGTCTTGGAGGAGCGAGGCCAGATGAACATCAAGGTAAGTCTAGTCATTTTCTTAATTTGATTTCAACATTATTATGTCAATTTTAACGTTTTTTTAGGGCAAAGGCATGATGAACACGTTCTTCCTCAAAAACCGCGAGGGCTACGACTTTTCGGATTGCTGCGATCAGCCGGTGGAGGAGGATCGGCTGGCGCCCGAGATTTTCCCCAGAAATTCGAGGACACAACGTCTAAATTCGACGTTTGGTGAGTTTGTTCACTCTTGTGTCGTTCCTTTAGTCTTTCCATGGCGAAAAAATGAACTTTTCGATCAAAAAGGGCCGATTTTGGAGCAAATTTTGAATTTGTAGCCATTTTTCAAAACAATGTTTCGACTTTAATTGAGCCTAAATTTTATCAAAAACGCCATTAAACTCGATTTCATCATTTCAGCCCTCAACAATCGCGATTCGCAACTGTCCCTCTCTCGAGAGACGTCCTTCTTGAAGAGGCTCGTCGACCGGGCCACCACCAGAACCCCACTCCACGATTCCTCGGCTCATTACTCGAATACCAATGGCGGTGTCGTGTCCATGGCCACGTCGATGTCGAGGGTTGAAGAGGAGACCCCAGCTAGAAATGGGCCGACGATCGGACGCCGGAAACCGTTTAGTCGGCAGAGCGGGACGCGGAAGCGGACGCCCATGTTTGATGTCGATTTTGCGATGCGAAAAAGGTAAATAAAAATCTCTACGGCTTTTAATAAGAATATCATAATAAAAAATTGTGTCGATTTTATAAAAAATCGGGTCTGAAAAAAGCGCCTCCCCCCGATAATGCAAAAGAACCTGCGTGCCATTTTTGTATACAACCTTTTAGATCCTCCTCCCTGCCCGACAACGAGTTCATCAAGATGTGCCAGGACGAGTCGATACTCAGCCGATGCCATCAGAACAATTCGACAGCGCCCGTCTCCTCGGCTTCATTCGGTTCTCACTACATCTCAAATGGGGGCGGAATGTCGTCGACGTCATCACCGTCACGTTCAAACTATCCTTCATATAAAGATGTGTCCACCTCGGTGCAACGGTTCGTTTGGGACTTTTATAAAGTTTTAAAAAAGCAGAGAGAGAGAGAGAGAGAGAAGAGAGAGCGTGAGCAAGAGAGCGAAAGAGCGGTGGTTTGAACAAGCCTCGTTTTCAGCAAAAATGCTGTCGTTCAAATTTGCGAGAACTCGGCACATTCAAGCCTGTAAGCGAGCGAGCATGTTGTGGTGTTTTGTTGTGACTATCTATCCATTAAATTATTTTTTATTTGACATTTTCATTGGTTTCAAAGGGATTTTGCATGTTGTTTGAAATTTTCGGGATCCACCTGGGCTTGGCGAGGTTGAAAACTACTCTCGATATCGTCGTTTCTATCTTTTTAATTTAGGCTTCTTATACTAAATCCTACGTTTAGAAAACGATCACTATCCATGGGCGATACGGTGTCGATTGTCGGGGATTTGTTGATGAACGGTGAGGTGCACGACTTCTCCGATTCTAAGCCGCTGATACGACCGGCTCGGCAGCCAAGGGTACGTTTTTTACGTAGATATGTACCTACTTAGGTCGTTAACAACGTTACGTTAGACAGTTACGTACGGCACGTTCGATTCTAGCTCTAAAATTTACTAATTTTTAGGAACGAAAGAAGGAAAGCCGTAAGCGCCACCCATCTCGAGATCGATCCCTATCTGCGATGAGAAAATCCCTCCAAAATAGCCTCCGAGAATCGACGCCCGCCACGTCGTTTACAAAGGTTTTCAATCTATATGTTCGTACATTCGATGTATTTCTTAGATCCTACGTCGTCTCACCTCTTCCTTCATGGAAACACCGCCGTACAACGATTTCGGAGACGTCGAGGAAAATTCACCGTCTCCTGCAAGAAGTGATGCTAGTAGTGAGTGTTAAATTGGTCATAATTTTGTGGAATTTAATTAGTTTAATGTAGTTGTATACATGATCATCGATTTTTCTGCCAAAATCTGAATTTTTTTACCGTTTTTAAGTTTTCTAGGTTGTTTTGCACTTGAAATATAACGACAGCATTAAAAAAGTAGCATTTTTCCTATTTTTCATAAAATTTTCTAAAGTTTCCCACTTTTGAAATAGTATAAACAATTTGGAAACAATTCTTATATTCATACTTATAGAAAATTTGGAATTAAAGAAAGATGCCCCCCGATAATGCATAAGAACCTAATTTTTAGCAAACCTTGTCGCCAGACCCTCGCCGGCACCGCTGGACATCACCCCGAATTCGAGCACACGAAGTCCGAACACGACAACCACCAGCCAAGCGGACGAGACCGACGAGCCGCTACTTCCGGTCCGACAGCAGCTAGTCGTTTAGCTCACCGTAATTTACATACGCTACAAAAAGCTACTTTTCTTTAACTTTAAAAACGGTTAGAGTTGCAGCCCGTTCGCATATCTGCGTTGTGATTGTTCTATGTGTATTTCCGGAACCGAATCTCTCGACCTCCATGCACTTTCCAGTTGGCCCGTGCTACACGTATCATACACATTTTTAGGGTCCCCCAATTGCTTGTAGTTTACAGTTTTTTCGTTTCTTACGTCGCACGTACTCTTTTTTAATTTTTATTCCCAAATTTTCCGTACGTGTACGCTTCATTCCGATAGACACACGCCTAGTCACAACGCCCGTTTCCGCCCACCCTACACTTCTACGAGTCCACCAACGATACAAGTCACAACCACACACATCGTTTTCTTTTTTTTTTGGTTGTTTTCTCTTTTTTGTAGTAAATTCCGCTGATTTTTTTTGGGTACTGAACCGTTAGCGGGGGGGGAGAGGACGCATTTTTCCCCAGAACGCAATATAGACAATTTCGGCGATTTACAAGGTTTTCAGATCTAAAAAGCGCATAAAATTGTTGAATTGTTGATCAAACTCCCCTCGCTAACAGTCTAGTACCTATTTTTTTTTTAGTTTCGCTTGCTAACGATAGATATATTAATGTTTTACTTCGTATATACCGACCACGTAAAAACACCCAAAAACTACTGGCTGTCACGAGACGCGCTTGACGGGTTGCCCCTCCATTTCCTGTGATTTTGCCTCCCCCCTCCCCCCGATGATGATGATGTACACTGAATATATCTTGTGAATTTGAATTTATACATTTCCACACACCCTTTTCTTCGTGTTCCTCTTGTTTTCCTTGTCTTGAATATATCGCGCGCTCTTTCTCTTTGCATGTACAATAAAGGTTTGAATTTGAGATGGTTTTCAACGATTATGACGTAAAAATGCACGCTGTAATGGAAACTACAATTTTATAAGATAGAAGCGTAAGCGAATTAAAATTTGTCAAGAAACAGGCGTTTGGTATGAGCCCATCTGGACAGGGTGTACAGAGGAGCTGGGCTGGTACCAAATCGAAAAAAATACCCCCTATTTATAGGGGGGCTATAGATGTTTCATAGCCCCTATGAAAAAACATATAGGGGTCATAAAAAAATTCATAGGGCTATGAAATTTTTTCATAGCCCCCATATTTAATACGAAAACGCCGTTTTGATAGTGTTTCTGCCCTTGAATTATGATTTCCTTAGCCGGGGCTTGCATATTTTAGCAATTGCTAACTTTTTGGCGCTCTCAGCCGGGGCCGGTCAAGACTGGGACCGAATGGTGAAATATGACCCCGATACATAGGGGCTATATGTGACAGGTTATAGAAGCCTATAGAAGGCTATAGAGTCCTTTGACAGATCCAACCTTCTATTTAAAGAGATAATTAGGAATATTGTAGGTCAGTTAGGTCTTCTATTTAGGTCGGATTTTATAAGTCGATCGGCTGCCCGGGGAAAATTATTGGCTATGCGCCGGCCGCCGGGGCAGCCTCTCTACCCGTTGGCTATTTCCCAAGAAGTATATTTCCACCCCCCCCCCCTTGCAAAGGGGGTTTGAGTGGTGCAATCCTTAACCCTTTAACTACTGGGTAAGATTCAATGCCAATGCAGGAAGACCATACACGAGTATGACTAGGTACTTATTTAAGTATAGCAAACTAGAAATGATGAGTATAATATTCCCTTGACTAACGACTCAGATGCCCCCAAAAATCTCGAAACCTTGCTGTGGAAATGAGTTTTGGAAGGAAATGGGTGGGCAAAATGAGACAGCACCGATTGGCCAATGAAGTGAGCCAAATTGGGTTTAGAATTAAGCAATGAGGTGGGGTAGTACGCTACAAACACAGAAAAGCCCTTTTAGAGATGCAAAAGTTCGAAAAAATTTGAGGAAAAATGATGAAAATCACCCAAAATGCCCCTATACCCCTATAGATCAAGAATATGAAATTTTTTCACATAAATCGTTTATGGGGGGTATAAAAAGTTTAATTGTCATTTTTAAAACAAGTGGTCGATATTCGCTCTTTTCCTCCTACGCCATCGTGTTCTCCGTATTCTTCTACACGGAATTTGTTTTGGACCCAAAACTGTCGAGGCTGTATGAATTTTTAACGATTTTTTTAAAAAAAGACTTTGAGACAGCCCCTATGTTTTTTTTTGTCGTATAGGGGCAACTATACCCCCTTCATACGTTTATATACCCCCCCTATACGTTCTTATGGGGGTGAGGGTAACTTTGTTGGCTTAATTTATAATTAATTCCGAATTTCTGTACGACTTCGCGTACTTCACCCGATAGAGCGTCTCTTTCTCTATTAGAAACCGCAACATGAGCCTTTTTCATCGCTAAACCGAAGAGTTCCAGTGGGTTTTCTGAAGTTCCCGCTTTTCCTCGTATAGGGGGCTATAAAAAAAATTTTAGGGGGTATATTTATTTTCATAGGGGCTATATTTCACCCGTATAGGGGTATTTTTTCGATTTGGTACCAGCCCTGAACGTAGTCGGTGTCAGAGCTACGCGACGCGCCGATCTACAGCTCTCTGTACGCTCTTCTTAATATTCAATTTTTCGAATATAAATAGAGGAAGGTTTTCTGCAATGCGTCTATTATTCCTAAATGCAAAAACTTTACAAATTGCTATTAAAAATTACAAAATAAAGTGCATTTTCGGCTAAAATGGCCGATTTTAGACCAGAATTTCGACTGTTTCAAAAATTTTGAAAGGTTTGGATAGGTTTTCCACTTCGAATATAGCTGAATCTTATAGGACCCCCGATAATGCCAAAGAACCCATTTTTAAGGTAACTTTTTGAATTGCGATCAACACACAACCGTTATAATCAGCGGTATTTTCGAATACGTTTGAAAATACCCCCTTTTCGAAATCTTTCTCCTCCGGGAGCACCGGATGTGGATAGGATATTTCCGTGACAAGATTAATCCCCTCTACCCTAATCCTCGTTGATTTTACCCCCAGATATGGCTTCAGGAAACGGGGTGTCCCGGCCGAGAAGCCGTATTTTGCGACAAAAAGGTGTTTGCGTGTCAGCGGGGTCTTCGCTCTGGGGGAGTAGAAATATCGGATGGATGCCTCGCTCATCTCGCTTATTCTCCTCGTAGTCTCTCATCTTGTAGTCTTTTGGCCTACTTTAGAAATATCTAGACTGCCCGTTTTGATGTAAACAAAATGTTTAAAAGCCGTTATTTTTGAAACGGCACTATTTTTGTTCCTTGTGCATTATCGGGGGGGGGGATTTACCTATTTTCCGCGTAAGTTCAGAAAAGCCTAGTCCTGTAATAGTAATTATTTTCATAGTGTTTTTAGCGAAATTTAACTATGTTTTAAGTTGAAAACCTATCTAAAAACCTAGCAATTTCAAAAATGGTAAATTTTGTAAAAAGTCGATATTTTTTGCACTTTTTAACTAAAAATTTCTAAAACCGTTACGTTTATGGTTAGCAGAAATACGTTTATTTCTATGATTTGCATTATAAGGTAAAAGGTTGCCCCCCACCGATAATACGAAAGCACAATGTTTACCTGAAAGTTACGCAATGTAATTTCGGGCTGATCGCGTTGCTGGGTGGACCTTTCCTAGCCCTGTAAAATCAAAAATTTTCCTTTTTTGATGTAGTGAGAACGATAACCGTTTTAGGAAAGTAATTTTCGACACCTAATGACCGGGCTGGCCAATTTTCGAAGAAGCTCCTTCTCTGCGCGACCGTTGAAGACAGATAATGTAAGCGAAAACTTTGATTATGGCTTTTACTGTCCTTTTTAGAAAGTCGCACCAACTCGGAAGAATGGTCTAAATGCGATGAGTGAGGTAACTTAAAATTCTAAAATAGTTATCTCTATCGATCTATCATTTTCAGAAGTTGTTGGTGGATCTGGATGGGGCGGGAAAAGGCGTGTCACGTTCGCGATCGATGCCGAGGATGCCGAGGAATTCTGAGGTGAGAGAGAGAGGGAGAGTGAGAGAGAGAGAGAGCCGGAGAGAGCGAGAGCAAGAGCTAAATCTAAAATTGGTTTCTAAATACCATTTTCGTAGACCTGGAAAAGACTTGGTCGGCTCTAGCGCGTCCCAGCCTTTAAAGGGACTAGAAAGCGCCAAAGTCTACCCGTTCCTAGTATAGATCTCGACAGCTGCACAAAATTACAAAACCAATCAATTTGGCTTTTTGAAGCCTAGCTAAATTTTGATTTTAGAATGACCAATGGCCCCTCTTCCGGCACTATTTCAGCACCGGAGCGCTACCGGTAAAAATCGATCACAACTCGGTGGGGCCGCCGACGAAGCTCAAGTAATAGATATTTCCACAATGTGATGCATTAATGGCTTCAGATGGACATACACGCAACGCGAGTTGTCTGAGGAAATGCTGAGGATGTTGTTGCCAAAGTTTGCGCTAGGATTGCCGCTGCTTGATCAGGTATTGGGGCGATCTTTATCGTTTTGGCTGGCTATGGATTTCTTATGTCTCGATAGACATGCCTTAACAATACCTTTAAAAAATTAAGATAGGAGAATTAATATATTTTACAGCCCTATCGCTTCGTGGCCGAGCGGGGTTTTGGCGACCTGTTGGACGCATGCAAGTCGAGCCGCCCGGTGATCGCTAGCTTGCCGCAAATCGTGCGAGCCATCCGAGCTGCTCTGTATTCGTTTGATAATCACAAGAAGAGGGAGATGTTGAAGGCGTTGATTAAGGTAAGAGAGAGAGGGGAGAGAGAGCGAGAGAGAGAGAGAAAAACAATCTTCTTCCAGCTCTCGATGATCCAAGGCGTTGGCCCAGCCTTGGTCCCCTTCTACCGTCAGCTTCTCCCTCCTCTCCGTGTCGTCAACCACATCTCAGCCGCAGACCGCAACAAGATCAGCATCGACCGAGACTTGGAGCGCGACATCGAGGGTAGACTTTGGAGCACGAAACCTAAAACTCATTCCAGTCACCCTGAACGAGCTGGAGAAGAGCGGCGGCCCGAACGCGTACATCAACATCAAATACGTGCTGCCGATGTACGAGTCGTGTCGTGGAATTTGAGAGTGTTGTGGAATAAATATTTTGGCTTTCTATTTTTTAAGCCAAGCCTAACCAGGCCTAAGCGAGGTCTAAGGCAAGCCAAATCCAAGTCTAAGCAAGCCTAAGCCAAGCCTAAGCCAAGCCTATTTCAACAAATAAGTTCCCTCAGTGGAGCAGCAGGTGATGACGGAGGGGGATCGGGTGGTGAGCGGGAGCTTTTGCCTAGGAAAGAGAGAACGACCCTGTCTTGGGTTGTAAAGTGGGGGTCGAGGGCCAAAGCTATGGCCGGCAAAACAAGACCTTCCGGTTGGACTCGACAAATCGACCAGTTTCGGACATTTATGGATGTTTCTTCTGACCATTTATTTTTCGGGTATTGATCATCTACAGGTTGCGGCTGAAGCTCAAAATTACATAAATACAAACCGCCGTAAATTCAACGCCAGCGAACGTTTTCTTGGTGCTGATCATCCACACTTTTCGCTAGGGCTCAAAAGTTCAATAGATCTCGAGTTACTGTTAGGCGACGCTTTCTTAGAATGTTCATCTACAGCTTACCGCTGAACCACAAAGTGTATAGATTTTTCCGAAAATACCTGCTCGCGGATGCTTTTTTGCGAACTGATCATCTACAGCTCGTCGCTAAGGCTGAAATTTTAATAGATTACTCCAAGGATCTTTGCTCGCTGACCCCCTATCATATTCAACGCTTGTTTTTGCCTGATTTTCGCTTAAAAATATTACATAAAACCTTCCACTCCACTCCAGATGACGCTCCAGCCCTACTTCGAGCGCGTCCCCTCCATCCTCTTTAAGCCGGACGGCTCCGTGTTGTTTGAATGCCTGTGCAACGGAAACCCTGAGCCCGAGGTGAAATGGTGAGTATAGTTAAGTCTCGAATTACCGGTAAACGATATAGATTTGCCTTCAATCGTCCTGTAAAGGAACCGGAAAGGCATAACTCAACTTTTTTCAGGTTCTTCAAGGACAAGGAGTGCGTTGGTGACCGGTACATTGCCAAGAAGAAGAAGATGGTCGGCAAGTACACGTGCACTCTGCAGATTAAGGTATTGATGGGTCTTAAAGACCGCTAGAACTCTGGAACGCACACTGTCACTCCAAGGGTGGTGCCCCCAAGAACGCGCGGAGAGAGGCGTCATTAGTGGTGCCCCGTATTGGGCAAAGGCCCTCTGGGGGTTTGGGGCACCCCTGACTCCCTTCCCCACTTGGCCCTGTGGTATAGTGGCTAGCGCGTTGGACTGTGGGTCGAACCATCGCGGGTTCGAGCCCCGCCCGGTGCACAACTTTCCTGCTCTCAACGGAATTTCATCGTTCTGGCGGTCTTTAAAGGGTGTAGGAAACGAGAAAATCGGCGCTTTGCTCCGCTAGGTCTCGACAGGTCTCGCATAGACGTCAAAAGAAGTGATAGAAAGAAAAAAAGGAATAAAAAAAAAAGATTCTAAGTCCGTTTGAGCTATCAAAATGAACGTTATTTGGAGTGTCATGTAGCTGTCGAGACCTAGTAGGGTAGAGGGGTCAATTCCAGCGTTTCATAGGCTCTTAAAAGTACTAGGAAGCTAAAAGATCGGCCTCTTTTAAATACTAGGTATCGAAAACTAAGCATAGCTCGAAATGACGTTGAATTGCGACAGAAAAAGCGTATTAAGAAGTGACGCGTAGCTGTCGAGACCCAGCTAAATAATAGGGGTCGACTCTAGCACTTCACAGTCCCTTGAAAATACGATTCCAGGGCCCAACTCAAGCCGACCAGGGCGTCTACAAGGTGACGGCGACGAACAATCGGGGCACACATTCCGTCGAGCAACCCCTATCATTAGTGCAGGTTGGCAAGGAGGTCTTCAAGACGCTGGATTAAACCAAATCCTTTTCGCAATTAGAATATAGCCAAAACACGTTTTTTCGTTAATTTTTTTAATCATCTTCGCTGTACATAATTTATATAAAACTTTTATTGCAGGAAAAATGTATTTTTCCACGAATAAATATTGATTTTCGATCCCAACGAACGACATATTTTTTTTTAATTACGGTAATTACGTGACACCTTACGTTACGCTAAGTTACGCTACGTTACGTTTCGCCACAGTAAGTGACGCTACTTTCCGCGTACGCTACGTTACGCTATCTTACGCTGCCTCACACTACGCTACTATACGTTACACTACGTAGCTAAGTTACACTACGCTACACTACGTTAGGTTACGTTACGATACGTTGACCTCCGCAAGGTTACGCTACCCTACAACCAATACGCCGAGAAAATCATGTTAATCAATTTAAAAATAGCTCAAAATTATGCTCTCAAACAGCTACGCTATGCAAAACAATCGTATTTTGGGTACTTTCCTAACCCTACACTACGCTACCATTTACACCAACGTACAGCTGACGGTCCGACAAATTGAAGCGTATTTACATGGCAAACCATGCGAAGATAAACCTGCAACAAACAAAATGAACTTTTTTTAAACGGTTACGATATGAAAATCCGCCGTAATTTGGATCGTGTCGAAACGCTACGTTACGTTACTATTTCCGCAACCAAATAACGACATTTGATGGATATAACTTTTTCCAGAGCTATAATCGAACGTTTCTAAGCCTGGAAACTCCCAAAAACTGGGTTCAATCCAATGCAACTGGGCATTTGGTCGAATTTTTTCCAGGGCGGCTTGGTCACGCGGTGGGCGCCGCGAGACGAGGATTTTTTGCTGCCGGCAAAAAGTGATCGGAATTACGGTTCGCTACACGCGGCGACTATTTATGGAGTGGCAGGAGAAATGGATTGGCCCATTCACATGATCTATCGCCGCGGAATATGGTTTGATGGTATTTGTAATCCTTCAGATCACTGATTCCATTTTGATCGAGATTTTATACGGTATTCATATTTTTGTCTGATTACGGTATGATTTTAGAGTGATATTCAGACGAATTTATGTTTAAGCTTGGCTCGCTCTGATTAGCTTGAATTTGGCCCAGTTTTTGGTCTACATGAGGCTTAAGTTGGGACCAGCCTTGGTCTCTACTAAGGCTTCGCAACGGATTTGCTCTGGGACTGTCCTTGGCCTAGTTGGCTTAGGTTTGAATATAGGGTTGTTTCGGCTTGAGAGTCGTAGGCTTAAGCTAAGACTTCGTTTCGGCTTTCCTTCAGTTGTCGCTTTGGATTGCGTTCAGCTTCGGGCTAAACTTAGCTTACTCTCGAGCTTAGGCTTAAACTTGGCTTAGGCTTGAGCTTGGCCTTATGCGTGGGCTTGGGTCTTGGCTTATAGGCTCAGCTCAGGCTTGGGCTGTGGTGTCGTTACGGCTTTGCTCCAGATCTGGCCTTGGATTGGGTTACAGCTTCGGCCTGCACTCGGCTTAGGCTAGGGCTTAGGCTGAGCTGGGGTTAGCTTGGGCTTAGGGATGGCGTAAGTTAGGCTTAGGCTTCTCAGCTTAACCCTAGGCTTCGGTTCGGCTTTGCACCAGCTCAAGCGATGAATTTGCTTCGACTGCGATTTTAGCTTGGCTTAAGCGTAGGCTTAAGTTCGGCGTGGGCTGGCTTGGGCTTGAGTTACCTTACCGGTTCCGGTAAAGGCCCTATTTTTAAATGTTTTAGTGATGAATAACATAGTCATTTTCCGTGCGATTTCAGAGAAGGAGAGAGAGAGAAAGAGAGAGCGAGCTTCCCTGCCTTCCCAGCCCCTTTAACCCCCGCTCCCAACTTCCCTCCGTTCAGCTTGATCATTATCTTTCCCTCCCCTTCCTAAGACATCTATTTCAGTGCCATTTACTCAGATACTCGATCACTCCCCTTGTCAGTCTCCACCCCCATCACTGTGGAGGGCCAAAAAAGTGGGGGCAGCCTTTTTGGAATGGGATGGAATGGCATGGGGGCACCGGATAGGGGGTGTCAACTGTTGCGTGTCGGCCTCGAGAGAGAGGAGCAGCAGCTCATGCCCTCACAGCTGACTCCTACCGAGCATCCGTTCAAAAATCAGTCAAAAAGCAAGAGACAAAAAGCGTTGGATTTCCGTGCCATTCTGGCTGTTGGCATGTGGTGGGGTTAAGATCAGCGGGTTCGCCCTGCGGATCAGGGCGGAGTGTTTCGTAATCTCGGTTTTTCTAGGGATTCTGTAGTTGGCTTCGGAAAGGAAAGCTAGGACAAGCAGCTTCAGCCGAAGCCAGGCCTACGCTATGTAAATGATTTGGAAACTAGCGCAATCCATTTAAAGGGACGTGGAAGGCATGACAAGCCATGCTTTTTTCGGCATAGCGCGGGACACTGAGGTTTCATGATAAACAAATAGACGCGTGTAGGTGGCGCCTGTCGCGTTGCATGCGGCTTTGTGTATCGCGTTGCGTGTCGCGTTGCGTATCGCGCTGTGGGTCGTGCTACGGGTATCCGCACGTCTTACTTTGTATGTCGCGTTGCGGATCGCGTGACGTGTGTGCCGCGTTGCCTGTCTCGGGGTGCAAAATCTTCCTCGCTTTTCATAGCCAGAAAGGTAGTTGTCGAAGGCTAGAATACATGGAGATTTTTGCCTTACACGTCTCTTTAAAGCGTCCGGAAAGCTAACGGTCAGCTCCATTATCCGATGCGCTCCGAAACACGATTTTTAGGACCATCCTTTGCGATTTTTCGATTGTTTGCAACTTTATTTTCTCCAGAAATTCCCCCGATTTTTGCTCGACCCCCCGACAGTTTTTCCACCTCGCTTTTCCTGTGCCTCAAGTATGGCAGCCAAGTTGCCCCCATCACGAGGGCTCAAATTACGAACACTGTGCTCCCAGGGGCGGGGTAACCTAGCCGGAGCTCCGCTTTTTCCGCAACTGTCCTCACCTCTAGATGAGGGTGGAGCGGTAGAAAAAGCGGAAAGGTAAGGGATTGCAAAGAGATGAATTTACGACTTATATCGAAAATCTTTAAACGAGTTTGTACTTTTCAGGCATACGATTGCTTTTTTCCTAGCACTTTTTGACACTTTCAGCTTCCTAGCGAAAAACAAACTTTTAGCACCTAAAAAAATGCCTTCTTTCAACCCCCTAAAACCGTGCGATCCTCAAATTCCCCCGGTAAGCCGAACCCCCGTATAGACTGGACAATTCTTGGCATAGAATTGGGTTTTTTGGTTCCCGAACGGGCGAGCAACACGCGTTTTCACGCCCCCGGTCTATTTGCTCGCGCTTCCTTGAGGCGCCACCCCCGACCAGCTGATCTGTTGAGTGTTCTCGCCAGATGGCTATTTTGAGGATGAGCGTCGGGGTACAAGCTTGTCAGGGTTGAATCGAGAACAAATGATCGAACCTCAACCTCCGACTCCGTTAAAGCGCTCGGAACCCACAAAAAAACTTCTATTTCCGGATCACTGAGTCTAGACGTTGTGGAGCATGGTTGTCGAGGTCTAGTCGATGGCCAGGGGTCGATTCCGGTGTGTTCTAGTACCTTTAAAGCTGATGGGAGAGAGAATGAGGGCGAGAATGAGATAAAGTAAGCGTGAGAGAGACAGAGCTAGAGAGAGAGAGAGAGAGAGAGAGAGAGAGGGAGAGAGAGAGAGAGCGAGAGAGCGATAGAGAGGGAGAGAGAGCGTGAGAGAGAGACTGAGCTAGAGAGAGAGAGAGAGAGAGAGAGAGAGAGAGAGAGAGAGAGAGAGAGAGACGTAATAAGCTCTATACGCTTCAAAAAAATTTTCAGCTCCGCTGTGCCCCGCCATGCCCAAAAAAATTTTGTCGGCTAATCTCCCCACCTCCTCTAGCTTTTCCTCCCCATTTTGCAACCCTTGGGCCCCTTGGAAAGCGATCAAAGCGGTCACTCATTGCAGAAATCTCGGGTTTTCCACGGAGTCAAAGGGGAGGAGGGGTCACATGGTTAAGGAATGGCGCCCGCCAGCCGGCAACCCCCGTGTTTGCCCCTCGAATCAGAAGAACTGTATGGGGAGGAAGAGTAGAAGATTACCGGGCGGATACCATTTGTGAAATCTTTATATTGAGTCTGCTTGATTGAAAAATTCAGCTTGATTTGTTTTAAGCTAATTGATGTAAACCACGATTTTTTTAGGTTAAAGGAACCGCTAAATCAGATTTTGGCAAAATCCCAATTCTTTAAATCTGAGGTTTTACTGTAGAAAATCGGCCTGCCAGCCTACGTTTTTAGGTAAAATGCAATCTCGAAAATTCGCTTAAAATCTGCTTAGAATTAGGATAAGCTGGGCTAACTTCGGCTTGGGATTCGGTTGAGGCTCAGCTTCAACCTGACTTGGGCTTAAGCCGAAACCTAAGACAAGCTTGGCTTAGTTTCAATCATGGGCTTAGCAGGCTTTTTCACTTTTTGTGCGGTTTCTACCCCCAAATTCCAATTTTCCTAGGCATGAGCTTGGTCGCGACTTACAAGGGAAGTGCACGACCGGCCCACGAGAAATCGACACGAGAGATAGTGGATCGGATAGAATCGGACACGGGGATTTCGAATCTGTAATCAGAATCTGCTAAATAAAACGGAGAAAAAAGTTATGAAGCATCAAAGTTGGCCAAATCGCCAAAAACCGTACCTTTAAGGGCCCGTAAAAATCGGTGGAACGGAATTGAGGAGAAAAGAATTAGTGCATCTTGTTCAGCGGAAAAAGCGCTTTCGAATGAACTGTAATACGTAGCATTTGCAAACAATTCACTGAAAAAAGTTTTTTTGGATTCACGGGCAAGGGTATGGCCTGTCAAGTTCATAGAAGAGATTTTCGCGAAATCATCGTAAACTTGAAGTAAAATAGCTCATTCGAAAGCGCTTTTTCTGCTGAACAAGATGCACTAATGGGTTGTGGCAAATTTCCATTCCCTGGGCCTTTACAGGCCCATAAAAGTCCGATTTTGGGCGATTTT